AAGCATGAGGAGGTGGCGGGATCACTTCATGTACAGCAGCAGCAGCGAGTCCTCCGTAACGCGCTCACCTCTCATCTGGTTAGCGGAATCCATTATCCCTCTGCGACAATCTCATCATGTTTATTACCGATGTGTGACATTTGTCTTAATGACATCCCTGACATTTCCACCTGACACGTCCCCCCGCGCCCCTTATATCACCGCAGTAATCATCTCTCTGCTGTGCGAGCGCTGCCAGGAAATAAATGTATATACATCCGTGTACCCTCGCTGTCATCGTATGTACGCCGCCCGCATTTTCCATACCGCCAATCAAATTTACCCGCCATGGTGATCAGATGTGAATTCAGTTTATCCGCATCTTGTAAATTATAAGGATTGTAGAGGTCACCCCCGGCATCATTCATCACAACGGGGGAAGGGCCTCGCTGTGCCCGGAGTCCTGGATTCACTTCCCAGCTCATGGTACGTTTTGCATTGTGTGTGTCTATGTGCTTCCTCCCAGTGCAACATAGACTAATATCATACACTCTGTATACAGCGCCATGGAATATGTCAGCGCTATATATATGTATAATAATAGGAGGGGGGGACATTAGAGTGTAAGTCTATAGACATGTATAATAATGTGTGACTGTGGTGGGAGGGGATTAGAGTGCAAGCTCTTCTGGTGCAGAGACTGATGTGACTGACTTAATGTTCTCTGTACAGCCCTGCGGTATACCTCAGAGCTATATACATGTATAATAATCATGGGTAACTGTGCTGGGCACATTAGAGTGTAAGCTCCTCTGGTGCAGAGATTGACGTGACTGGCTCATTGTTCTATGTACAGCGCTGTGGTATGTCAGAGCAAAGAACTCGCATAGAAAGCCTCTTCTGCTGAAGTTGGGGCATTTATGGGGATCCTTGGAGGTGCTGAGACTGGCACTGTTCTCTGTGCGACATTCATCTCCCATCAAAGTATATTTGTATGATTTTGTACATTAATGGCGGTTCCTCTTGTGTTTCCAGATCCTGAGGGCACGGAGAGGCCACGGGTCCTCTGGCTGATGTACTTTAATATGAGAGACTCATCCGCAGTAGAGCGCCAGTCATATGTTGGGCTTCCCTCTAATGTGCTTGTCTGCAGCGGGCCGGACCCGTGCTTTGGATATGACCACGCATGCCAGCAGGTGAGCAAATCGGTTATGGGCTCCTTGTCATGGACGTCTTCCTGAAGTGTTGTTATGGGTTGAATGCCCCCCCCATATTGGTTGGAGCCTCCATGATATGTCTCTAGACTCCTAACCATTGAGATCTGTCATAATTATTCTGGGCTACGCATTCCCTGTGGTGTCCTCATTCACCATATGTATTAAAGTGGCCACCTTAGGCCCGTGGCCTGTATACCCTATAATGCAGTATATATAGAACTGTGTGCTATACTTGTCATCATACTAAAGGTCCTCTGCTCCTGAACTTCCAGCGCCTTGAAGGTTTCGCCCTTCTACAAGGATATGCAGTTATAGGCAGAGCCTGCTGGACTGATCTCAGTGGAGGGATCCCCCAGCTCTGTGTGAGATGTGAAGATGCAGCAATTCATCCGCAGGAGACACCAGGAAGGACATTTGCCTTCCCTCCACCTACCGGTCTAGGGTAACAAGAGTGCTGAAACACTTTATTGTCCTAGCAAATACCTGTGCCAGCCTTCAGATCGACCTGTGTGTCCCTATGGAGCCTCATGAGTCCACAACCCAGGCAGTACATGAGGGCCCAACTTCTGCTCATATCAAGTGTACCCCCATCCCTTCCTGTGCCAAGCCCCACCACCCGTCAGTCAACTGTCAAATGCCAAATGTTTAGTAGGAATTATATAGGAAGAGAAATCACCAGCACTCAGTAGAATAATCCAACATGTCCATTTATTGGACATAGACGTCACACAATCACAACAGCCAACGTTTCGAGACCACACAGGGTCCCTTCATCAGGGCATAAAGAGTGACCAAGCTCACACCAAGGTCACTCTTTATGCCTTGATGAAGAGACCCTGTGTGGTCTCGAAACGTTGGCTCTTGTGATGCCCTTGACTTAGGCACAGTTCTGAATATAGTAGTCCCAGGTGTGAGCAGGCAATGTGGGTTCCCCTTAAGGCACATGTGTCAAACTCAAGGCCCAGGGGCCCGAATCCAGCCCACCAGGCCATTTCCTAGACTTCTACTTTCAGATCTAGGTGTTAAGTTGTTACTGAAACCAGTGATAATCGAATGCAGAGACAAAGAGAAAGATTAGATACATTTATATCGTCTTACAGATACCTTTTGAGGGCAACCATAATATTGATGGGGCCCACGACTAAATTGATTTTGACACCCCTACCTTAGGTCATGGAATCTAAGGACAATCCAATGTTCCACAAGGCACCCCTTCAAGGGGGTTTGTATTTAGCATTGTGCTGCCCCCAGGTTGCAACCCCTAGGTTCTCCGTGATTTAATGTGAGGAGACTAACCCCCAGTTACAGGGATTAGGCGCACAGGAGCGTACTAGTGGTAGCAATGTAGACAGGAACCGGATAGCAGAGAGGCAGGATAGTGGAGCACAATGGGGCAGGCTGATACACAAGTCTAGAGTATCCCGGCGGTACAGAAGACCAGACTGGACGGCAGAACTGCAGAGCATACCGGAGCAGTCTGGAATGCAGCTGAGGTGAAGGAGAACCAGCATTTGGACCAGGGGTCAGGGCAGATGACAGACGTGTAAATCCATACAGGTAGCAGAAGCCGGTATACAGGAAGTCAGTCCGAGGAAGAAATACTGCAAACAAGCCTACGGGGAGAGTTACTGAAGTAGGCCAAAATGTTGCTCAGGTGCCGGACCTCAAGACGCGGGTCCTTTAAATAGACACAGCCCCTTTAATGGTGGTGCACCTATGAGGTCTTCGACCAGAGACAGGGCATGGCTGCAACGCCTCAGGAGGGTCCCAGAAGCATTGCCAGCCATGAAGCAGAGGGAGCCTGGCAGCACAGGAGTGAGGAAGGAAAATGATGACTAGGGCCCCTGTACAGCCTGGGCCTAGGAACTGATGGGCTCTACAAGGAATGATCGGAGGACTAACGCAGGTTCTTACCTCCAGGCTGGATCACTAGTTCAGAGGTTTAAAGGGAGTCCATTCATGGCAAAGTAACCAGATGTTTTGTCCGAAGAACCTTCCTCTTACTGTTACCTTCATTGGGCTCCCCCATCGCTCTGCTGCTTGTTTGGAACTCTTCCAAAATCCGGAGCTTCTGGGTATGGGGGAAGTATGTGACCTCCTCCCATGATGCTCAGTGCTCAGGCCTGTGGTGGCCGATGGTCTGGCCTAAATGCAAAATATTTTAGAAACAACACAAAGACACTAGCCACCAGATCAGACAAGACCTTAATCTTCATGGAACCCCCACATGTGTATTCCGGCTGTCGGTGGAGACTCGGCGAAGGATGACATTTCTTGCCAAAAGCTGCCAAAAGCTGCTCTCACTTACAGGCTGGCCGATCCTGACGCTCTGCCACGCACAGAGCCGCTGTCATCCTGAAACTGACAGGATGACAGCGGCTCTGATCTCCTCCCCGCTCGGCCATCCTGACAGCTGCGGCGCGGCTTCTCTCCCCCTCACCGCTCCGCCATCCTGACAGCAGGCAGTGCTCCCTCCTGCGCTCCCCGGGGGGGAGCGGATGAGGGAGCGCTGTCATGTCGGTGAGGACGAGAGACCGAGGACGAGCTGCGTCGGCCGCCTGGCGCCTTTGTTGCCATGGCGCCCTGTACAGCTCGTACACCCCTAAGGCCGGCCCTGACGGCGGCACATTTCTCTTCACAGCCGCCAGTGACAGCCAGCAGCGTGAGATGCCATAGCGACCCAGGGCATCAGGAATGTCCTGGCCGGGCCCCCCTGTGCCCCGGGCACCATAGCGGCCGCCTGGGTCCCTATGGTGATTGTTACGCCACTGATGCCAGCTGTACACATGCTGCCATATATATGCCTACAGATGGCAGGAGGGGGTTAGAGAGGAAGAGGAAGGAAACTGGTAACCAAATATTCCAGTTAGTGTTCACATGCTTTAATTCTGTCACCAGATGAGTCCTTAACCCTGTGTAAGCCCAGACCCAGAGCTTCCATATGGATAGCACTCCAGTAGAGGGACGGAATGGTGGGTAATACAAGAGAACCTGTCCCTTCTCGCTGGACGAGCTAAAGTGACACTTTCCCAGCAACCGCCAAGTCACATATCAGTTGAGGGAAGTATATGAGAAATGTTGCCTGAAAATGAGAACTTCGAGGGGTGGTCCATCTTTCTCTCAGCATCTTATATGTTTCAGAACTGAGCCGTGTGTCGTGTTCTTTGTCAGCTTGTTTCACGTTTCATATTGGGACGGCATGTTTGTGTTTTCAGGCGGAGAACATTTTCACCACAATGTATCCATCGGAAGAATTCTGTCCTCCGGCGCCAAACCCAGAAGATATAATTTACGATGGAGAAGGGTGTCAGCCGGACACATCGGAAACGAGAGAGGCTGATGAGTGCAAGGAAGAGACGCCATCTGAAAATGTAACGGAGGAGCCGACAACCGAATGACTCCACTTTGGCTGGATTCCAACCATTCTCACATGTCATAGTGGTGTGCGCTCCGGCGGCTCCTGATACTCTGCATATCTGGCTGAGCTGTGCGTCACCAGATGTGTCGCTGCGCAACGCCGCGTCTGTTTACCTGCAAGTCTGGCTTAAATTATTCTCCTGTGTGTATGGCTGCAATCGCAATAAATCTGTTTTCATATCTCGTCATTAAATCCGCCTCAAATTACTCCTCAGCATAACAAAGGTAAACCGACATTAAGAATATCCGCCAGTGTGCAGAGCAAGGGAGGTGCCACTGTGCTTGTAACATGGAACATGACATTGGGGGTACAATGAAGGGGGGCTCATATCAGATGATTGTAATAGAGGGGAAAATGAATACAACTCTAGGCTGCATCACTGGAGGGATCCCCAGCAGGAGGAAGGAGGTCCTGATCCCTCTATATAAATCTTTATTATCACTAGAGGGATCTCCAGCAGGAGGAAGGAGGTCCTGATCCCTCTATATAGATCTTTATTATCACTAGAGGGGTCCCCAGCAGGAGGGAGGAGGTCCTGATCCCTCTATATAGATATTTATTATCACTAGAGGGATCCCCAGCAGGAGGCAGGAGGTCCTGATCCCTCTATATAGATCTTTATTATCACTAGAGGGGTCCCCAGCAGGAGGAAGGAGGTCCTGATCCCTCTTATAGATCTTTTATTATCACTAGAGGGATCCCCAGCAGGAGGCAGGAGGTCCTGATCCCTCTATATAGATCTTTATTATCACTAGAGGGGTCCCCAGCAGGAGGAAGGAGGTCCTGATCCCTCTATATAGATCTTTATTATCACTAGAGGGGTCCCCAGCAGGAGGAAGGAGGTCCTGATTCCTCTATATAGATCTTTAGTTATCACTAGAGGGGTCCCCAGCAGGAGGAAGGAGGTCCTGATCCCTCTATATAGATCTTTATTATCACTAGAGGGATCCCCAGCAGGAGGAAGGAGGTCCCGATCCCTCTATAGAAATAAAATTGATAGGACAGAACGAGTCCAGAAAAGGGCAAGAAAAATGGTGGAAGGTCTGAGGGATAGGGAGGGCAGAATTTCAATATGACGCTGAGATGAAGAACACGGGGACATGACCTCAAACTAGCATGAGGAAAGTTCAGAAGGTATTAGTAGTAGTTGATGGTGGGAACAGACATCCAGCAGAGGTGGGGCGTTAGTCAACAGGAAGTGAATTTAAACATTGGGACAAACATCTGTATTTAGGGAAAAGGGGCAGATATTGGACCCATGAGGTCTTTTTCTGCCATCACTCGTCTGTTTCCAAGTCTCCACGTCTATGAACCTTTTACAACTCCTTCCATCATTTCTCTCTCTCTCTCTCTGCTGATGTCATCTTATCAAACGTTATAAAAGTCGATCGGCATAGACGTAGTATATTGGCAGCAGACGTTCCCCCATCGCTGAGCTCTACGCGCTCTTCTCCAGGATTTCCAAGACGAGCAGAAATCCCTCCGCCGTCCTTTTCCCGTTCCTCGGCGGGAGCGCAGACACGAAAGCTGTTTTCTGCAATTAGAGTGGAGCAGAAAGTGACATTTTGTTGCGGATCGCCTCTCCCCACATATGATTATTGGCAGATTGCACGTTGCAGCTTCTTTCATTTCCCTTTAATGTCGATGTGATTAAAATTCTGTGTGATATTCCAGAACGCTTCATTATTTATGGCCAGGAAACAAAGGAACGCTGCGCCACCAAAACGCAGCTCTGCACCGACGGCTCGGATACATTTCCAACATAAACCGATTCTTTGAGTCCTGATCAATAATCTGATCTATATTATACATTGTTGTACTTTGTTATACTTTCTTATACATTGTTATATTTTGTTATACTTTCTTATACATTGTTGTACTTTGTTATACATTGTTATACTTTCTTATACATTGTTATATTTTGTTATACTTTCTTATACATTGTTATACTTTCTTATACATTGTTATACTTTCTTATACATACTTTCTTATACATTGTTATATTTTGTTATACTTTCTTATACATTGTTGTACTTTGTTATACATTGTTATACTTTCTTATACATTGTTGTACTTTGTTATACATTGTTATACTTTCTTATACATTGTTATATTTTGTTATACTTTCTTATACATTGTTATACTTTCTTATACATTGTTATACTTTCTTATACATTGTTATACTTTCTTATACATTGTTATACATTGTTGTACTTTCTTATACATTGTTATTATACTTTCTTATACATTGTTATACTTTCTTATACATTGTTGTACTTTGTTATACATTGTTATACTTTCTTATACATTGTTATACTTTCTTATACATTGTTATACTTTCTTATACATTGTTATACTTTCTTATACATTGTTATACTTTCTTATACATTGTTGTACTTTGTTGTACTTGTTATACATTGTTGCAGTATCCGGCCTGAGATGAGGCATCTGAACGGCCGATCCTTTTATACATTTCGTTCATTTCAACTTCTCTACAATTTCCTGAATTCTTTAATGTGAGGAGTAAAATGCGATAAAGAATTTTTCTTTTATTTTCACTTATACTTCTATGTCTTTTTAAATGATTCCAATCTGACCCCGCCCCCGAGGATCCGATTCTCTGGACTGGATAAGTTGTGTTCTCTGTTAAAGTTAATCTCCGGCCTCGCGGACTCTATTTACAGCGTGTTCATCTCATCATATTGCCGATCGTCATGATAAATTGATATAAAATGACTCTGAGGGGAGAATGTGTGGAAGTTTCGCTCACTTTGGTGCAAAGCCCTCCTTGATCCTATCACTAACGCATTTCACCCAGCTGACCTCCGGCCTTTTTTATTTACTGTGTGAATTCTTCTATCTCATTTTACTGACAATCTTTATGACAAATGTAATGTAAAAGTTTGCAAATAGGACCCTGGGGGGTTTTATCCCATAAAGGGGGGGGGGGGGGAATATGTGGTGGTTTTGCCCTCCTAGATCCTCCCACTGATGCGTTTCACCCTGCTTGAACTCCGGCCTTCCCTTCAGTCATGTACAGTTGTACCGGATCCTCTCCTGGACTGAAATGGCTTCCTCTGATTTTGCTGCACACTGTGAGCTTTAGAATCTGCTGCAGCCAGTCAGATAGAGCCCGCCTCATTTCCCGGCCTGATCTAGGCCTTTCCTTCCCTGGCCCCACCCCTTTCACTCATTGGATATAAGTTCTTTCAATCATGGAGGCTCAGCGTCACATGCGGGCGTTGCCTAGGGCAGTCTGCATGCGAATGTAGTCTGCCTAGGACCGCCCACTCCAGGCTGACACCCGCCCTTCCAGGCATTTTGATATTTGCATAACTCCTCCCCAAATCCAGATCATTTGCATAACTCCTCCCAGGATCCAGCCCACTGCATCATGACTGAGGGCTTGAGAGCAGCGCTGAGGCAAGGGCGCTGTGAATTTTTTCCGGAAGCTATGCTGGCCCCTCCCACCTGCCATGATCTGCCTGCATTGCATAGAGAAGAATTAGTATGTTAATGGGAGGGGGGAGGGGCAGGGAAGGCATAATATAAGCAGATTAGACTCCATCTTTAATAATGTGTTTGTGATGTACAGCTCCCGGAGGACTTGGAAAGGACTTTCCTCCTCAAAAGTGGAGTTTCCCTTTATATGTGTCTCTTCCTTCCCTCCGTGTGGAGATATCAGAAGCACATTGCGGAGTCAATAGAACATTTAATTCACCATCAGCTATTGTAACCATGAATAAATCACCGGCGTGGGGGGGGGGAGGGGAGCAGCGTGGCGGAGGGTCGCTCTCGGCGCGATTCATCATGTGAAGAATCTTCGCGGTTATTCATCTTAATTTGCATCTATTTCTGACATTACGGAGAATCGAAGAATACTTTAATTTCCGAGTTCCCGTATTCTTCAAACCTCCCCGCTGCTCCCGCCAGATGCTCCCCGCCTTTGATTTCACCTGAGCAGCCCGAACGCCATCTGTCGCGGTGGCAGCGGCTACGAGGAGTGCGGCGCGAGGAAAACGTTCTGAAGGGAAGATGAAAAGTTCGGCCGCTGAAAACGATTTCGGATTTTCTCAGCTGCTGCCGCTTCGCCCGAAACCTCGGCCAATCGGAGCTCAAACGGCAACGAATATTGGAGTTTTGGGAGGATGTCACCCTGTCACAGTCTCCCCCCACCCCATGCATGCAGGACTTTGGGGTCACCATGTCAGGCTTCCACAATAAGGCAACAAGGACCTCACTGAAGGCACCCGTATGAACCTCCGTCCTCCACTTCAGTCTTCTATCTGACCCTCTGTCCAGGGATGGTGGGAGCTCCTCATAATGGGCACAGCGGGTGTACAGACCCGGGAACTCAGCACAGGGCTGCTGGGAGCTCCTCATAATGGGCACAGCGGGGGTACAGACCCGGGAACTCAGCACAGGGATGGGGGGAGCTCCTCATAATGGGCACAGCGGGTATACAGACCCGGGAACTCAGCACAGGGATGGGGGGAGCTCCTCATAATGGGCACAGCGGGTATACAGACCCGGGAACTCAGCACAGGGATGGGGGGAGCTCCTCATAATGGGCACAGCGGGTATACAGACCCGGGAACTCAGCACAGGGATGGGGGGAGCTCCTCATAATGGGCACAGCGGGTATACAGACCCGGGAACTCAGCACAGGGATGGGGGGAGCTCCTCATAATGGGCACAGCGGGTATACAGACCCGGGAACTCAGCACAGGGATGGGGGGAGCTCCTCATAATGGGCACAGCGGGTATACAGACCCGGGAACTCAGCACAGGGATGGGGGGAGCTCCTCATAATGGGCACAGCGGGTATACAGACCCGGGAACTCAGCACAGGGATGGGGGGAGCTCCTCATAATGGGCACAGCGGGTATACAGACCCGGGAACTCAGCACAGGGATGGGGGGAGCTCCTCATAATGGGCACAGCGGGTATACAGACCCGGGAACTCAGCACAGGGATGGGGGGAGCTCCTCATAATGGGCACAGCGGGTATACAGACCCGGGAACTCAGCACAGGGATGGGGGGAGCTCCTCATAATGGGCACAGCGGGTATACAGACCCGGGAACTCAGCACAGGGATGGGGGGAGCTCCTCATAATGGGCACAGCGGGTATACAGACCCGGGAACTCAGCACAGGGATGGGGGGAGCTCCTCATAATGGGCACA